CGACGAGTTTCAATTCGTGGCTCCCCCTCCCGCGAGAGAGAGAGAGAGAGAGAGCGTATATTTTATATCGCGGAGATCGGCGCCGATAAATTAATAAAAATCCGACCCGACAAATAAATCAGAATAAATTTATCATGATGAATTATTTATCATAATGAATCACTGGAGAATTCGTTGAATACGATCCTCAATATTGTATAAATACACAACACACACACACACACACACACACACACAAATGCGTATTTTCTGTCGATTGCGCAAACGACGGACGATGCCTAGGGAGAGCTTGTATGTAAGAGCGAAAATAAAAAGACTGAGAAGTGCACGAAAACGAGATAAAATATTGTGCAACGAGATACAGCTCTTATGTACGGGCGATTAGGATTATAGATCGTCGACACACGGACGCGTCATCAATCGCGCTTGTACGGTCGTTAAAGTGAAAATCAAGATTGTACGCGACGACGACACGTCGCGCTCGGAGAAATTTCGTCGTGAGAAACGACGCTTCACGTCGGCACTTCGCGCGAGCGTCGTCGCCGCGACGAGAGCCGTTGACTTCGCCGATCTCTTGTTTGTTATTTTTTTCTTTTTATCGGGAGGAATTTTCGTGAGTGCCAATAACAATAATAATATTATCTTGTTGCGGCGACGGCGGCGATATCTCGGCAGCATGAGACGCGATCTTTCTTTCAAGGAGCAAAGTCCACGATAGGCTCTGCTCCGTTACTGGGAAAAAGCGCTCCAAGACGCTCTGTTTAATCGCGTTCGTGTTTCATACTCGAGCACCTACACGCACTCTCGCGCGTCCTCCTCTCGTGCGTATCACGAAGCCGATAAAGTCGCGTGTACTTCCTCGGGGAGATCTTATGAAACGCTCGTGCTCTCCCACAACTGGCTCTCTTCTCGCTCGCGCACGTTACAGAGCGGATTTTCGCTGGTTGAATTAAAAGTCGCGGAGCTGGAAATGGAATCGACAGATCGCGCTGATTGGCGTGAGAGTTTTTGGACACGTCAATTCCATGACCTTGCAGAGTAAGTAACGGGACGTCCGCTCCGTGCGAATATGCAAGTTTCGATTGAATCCTCGAAGCATTTTGATCGCACGATTGAATCACAGATCAGGAACGCAAGAGGAGCGACGATACAGGGCGACTGAAAATTCGGAGGAGCGACACGACAGCGAGATGATCGAGGCGACGCGTTTTTTGCGGAAGACAACAAGCTGCTCGGTAAAAGTCGCGCCGCTGAGAAAAACACGGGCCGCCGGTGGGTTTCGCCTCTGTTTTTATCGCGAAATTTTCCATCACGTAGCAGCCGAGTGAATTTCTCGGTTCTCGTACCTAACTACCGACATTGCCGGTTTTATAGTGGTGGTAGATTCGAAAGTTAGCCTTCCGTACGACCGACTCGCCGGCTCGTGTCTTTCTTCGACAGGGCCGTAACTACCGCGAGCAAACATCGGACGTGTCCGCGATTCTTCCCCCGATGAGGAAACTCGTCACTTTTATCGCGCTCATTTACGTCGAGTACCACCCTGTGTTATTTTTAATTATAAATTAATTTTTTAATTATAATTTAATATTTTTTAATCTCCAGATAATTCATCTTGAAAGACGAAGAGGCAATGGAGAGGTTATTGTTACGCGCGATATTACTCTCGGTACTTTCGGCTGGTGAAACTTTCGCGAAGCGATTCTTCGGATTTCAAGCAGCGGTAAAATTTTATCGCAGCTGTCACATTAAATATCGTCACTGAGTTAAAAGTGGTAAATTGTATGTCTTGGAAGTTTTGAGAAACTGTGACTTTTCATTACTGCTCCGGGGAGACGCGATAATAATATTTTTAATTTGCTCGCGCGTGTGCTTGCACGTGCAAATTTCGTTGCATCAGATGAAGAAGAGTTTTACGGTCGTCAAGTGTTTAAAGAAGTAAACATCTAATGGAAGTTTCAAAGTTCAGAAAATTCTCTTGTTTACTCTTAAGACGCGCGTGTCAGAAAGCACGCTAGAGGTCACTCTATCGGAGTAACCTCTTTGTAAATGACTCAAGTGCAACATTCTTCCCAACGAAATAGACTTTGCCGAAAAGTTTCTGAAATGATTATGTCATTTATTTCATCGCAAAGTGCTTCGTAGCAAATTTTTTAACGATATGAATTTCAATATGGCGCAACTAGGTGCAATAGTTCGACCATTTTGCGCTAAACAATCATCCGGAGTGCAGAGAAAGAGAGAGAGAGAGAGAGAGAGAGAGAGAGAGAGAGAGAGAGAGAGAGAGAGAGAGAGAGAGAGAGAGAGAGAGAGAGAGAGAGAGAGAGAGAGAGACATGTATAATATGAAACAGATTTTCCCCGGCTGCGACATATTACAGGCGAACAAGAACAAGGCGATTCAAACGTTCGGCAAACAGTTCATGCAAGGCACACGCAGAGCTGAGAGAAAATCCGATGAACAAACATAATCCGAGAGTAACAGTGCGTGTTCAAAAACTCACCGTCTCCACCATGTCGAATCCTCCCCCGTACACCATGTCTCGTTCCCCTTCGTCCGCGGCTCCACACTTTTGACAGCCGCCGTGTTCGCGCGCGTGGACCAATCTCTCGGCGCTCTCAGCCGAGAGGAGAGATCGACTTTGGTTGGTCTGCGCGCGGTAGCCGACGAGGACGACGACGACGCCAAATCCAGAGGATTCTGCTCGCCTCTTCTTCGGCTTCGCGTTTTCGTCGACAGTCCTTTAACCAGCTGCTCCTTCACGATCCCTCGTCCTCTCTCCGTCCTCGTCGCATGCGCGGCCTCTCGCGAATTCCCGCGAATTCCTCACGATCCTCGTATGTCGCGTACGATCGACCGACTGACCGCCGCGCCGAGCGAGTGGCGGGAGTCGGTGGGCACGTTCGAATCGCCGCGGCCGCGACCGAGAACGCCCGAGCGCCGTCGAGGTGGCCCGAGCGCGCGCGACCTATAAACTCACGCATGCGCGGTCGGACGCGCGCGATTCTTCTTCGCGAAAATTGAACGCGCGCCGCGCTTCTCCTCGATCACGCGAATCTTGACTCGGCGAGAGCGGCCGGACACGTGGTTGCCGCTTAACGCGCGTCGTGACGACTTCCGCGCTCACCGCGGGAATCCTCGCGAGGCGGATCGGCCTCTCACGACACCGCACGACACTGAGCTTCGCGACGGAAATGAAGATAAGAGAGTCGGGAACCGCGAGTCCTCTCCGAGTCTTCCGTCGTTTGACGCTCGGCGATACGCAGCGCCGCCGAAGATACGTCTCGATTACGGTATCCGATCGGGTCTCCACGGCCGAGCGGTCGCAGTCGGACGAGGAACGAAGCGATCGCAACGCGCATTTCGCCTTTCGCGACTGCCGTACACGCGACACGGCAGGTCGCGCGATGAACACGCTCGGAGGAACCGAGCGACCTACTAAGATCGGCGCGCATGCGCTCAGTCTCTTCCCTCTTTTTAGCCGCGCGAGTATCAACGATCGGCTGGTCTTACGTGTCGCGTAAGATGGCCTAGAAAAACGGAGCGAGATATTATTTACTTAGTTATTCAATGCTGCTTAAAGAGATGACGGTACGCGAAGCGCGCGAGAAAGCAGAAAGAACGATGCGGTCATGTGTGCGCCGGACGGAACGTTCCGATACGATTCGATCGGTGTCTGTGTCTCGAAAAATGCGCAATTCGAATTCAAATACTGTTTCATTCTCATTTTTTTTTTTTCACGAATATTTTACGCAACACGCCTATGAGCGGGAAAGCAGTCGACGTCAATTCGATATATTATATTCGACGGCTGATCCCGTTTCGCGATATGATTTCATCGGTGTCGCGTGCACCCTAGAAAATGATGCAACACGCTCGTTACAACTCGAATTAAGATACTAATCGTTTTACAAATAACTATTGCAATATTTATGAGCTGATAACCGCGGAATGTTAACTCGTCGCACTCGGCGACTTATCCCGCCTCGCGATACGCTCCGATAAGAGTTAAGGCAGAAAAAATGGTGCGGTGTGTTAGTTGCAGTTCTGATTAAAGTAGCAATTATTTTACAACTAATCATGCCATGTACTTGCGAGCGGAGTAACGGCCAATGTGAACTCGTTATATCGGGTGACCGATCTCGCCTCGCGATACAATTCGGCCGGCGCTGCGCCTTGGGCAATGACGTAACGCGTTTCGTTGCAACGTTTATGTTAAAATATTGTTAAAATATTGACGACTTGTTTTCTTCTTCGAGTAATCACGGCATTACACGTGCGAGCGGAGAAACGATCAACGTCAACTCGGCGATTATATTCGGCGATTGATCCGGAGGTTTCACGCGAGGGCCGCGAGGCTCGCGAAGCCTCGACTCGGCCGGTTAAGTTACAGCTGCGAGTTCGGCATTTACGATTATCATTTGTTACGAGTATCTCGCGGCGCGCCGTTTTACGGGCGCGATGACAGATGCAAATGGCATGTGGCCAAATGCCGGCGCGGCGCTCTCGCGCGCGCGGGGTGTAGCCGGCGTAAAAACGCCGGGGTAACGCACGTGCTTATTTCGTCCTACTGAAACGCGCCGCGGAGCGCGCCTGTAAGTCAGAGGTTGGAGCAAGTGCGTTACGTGCGTCACGCACTCTTAACTGCATCCTGTCCGTGCCACCAACGTAATTCTATTACTCTCGAACAATGTCCTCCGATAGCGCGCGCGATCTGGATCTGGGCCGTAACTCCGCGAGGGTATATAACTTAAAGTGCGCACAATGCTCCGCGTGCATTTTTACCCGCGGGAGATAGCGAGAACAGACAGGCGACGGGCGGGCGGGCGGGAGAGCGCTCGCGGCGAGAAAACAATTCTCGAGCGGGGAAAGAATGCGTTCTTGTTACGCCGACGTCGAGACTAAGCCGCACACGCGCCGTAAACATTCGATATCGGAGGCAAAGTGCACCCGAGAGCCCTTCCTAGGCCGCGTCTCTTCCAGCTCGAATCTCCTCTAGATGCGCGACCTTCCGGTGCGCGATTATCGGAAACAGTGAACGAAATCGGCCGGTAACGTGAAGTCGCTCGTTTGGAGCGACGAGAAAACTTCGGGCAATTAACCAGAAGCGAATTTCCCTGTTGGATCGCCGTGTGCTTTCGAAACCATAACACATCGAAGTATCTCATAGTCGTTCCAACGACTCCTCAAGTTATAAACTGCGCAGGTAGTCTTTGCCGGAAAATCGGCACAATCGATCAATTCCCGCCTAACGCGCTAATCCGGAAAATGTAGAAGCCACGATTGCAATTAACTTTCTCTCTCTCACGCACATACTCGCACGCAAGTCTCGCGTTAATTAGATATCGACGACCTCGAAAAATCGCGAGGAATCAAGAGGAGAAGCTGAGGAAGAAGATAAGCACTCGTATATATCTATCTGGTCTTTCTGTTTTTCAAATCTATCCGATCGCTTGACAATTAATTAACCCGGATCGAATTTATTAATTGTCTCATTAAAACACAACGGGTGCCATAACGGTGCCGGCGGTGCCACCGGCGCTACGATACCGCTCTACACCGCGTCTTATTGAGTTACGTACAAAGTATAATTAATTGCATCTGCGAAAGTGATTGTGCGGCCAATAGAGAGCCAATGAAACGAGGCAAGAGATAAATGTATCTCAAATTACATTGATCTACCGTATCCTCGGTAATTCAATTATCGGTCAGGCTTCTGTGTGTGCAATCGATAGAAATCAGCGCGGCGGTCAACGTGTTAATAAAAGGATCGACGACGACGACGACGACGATAGCGTCGCTAACGGTCCGAGCGGCGTGTCAAATCCACCAAATTCAACGGAAACCACAAAGCTGCGCCCGGAAAACGCAACGGTTGTGTTCGACGGCTTTTCGAAGGTGGACATCACCGATAAATCTCAGTCGGTGTGTGCACCGATCATAATTAATAACAAATGGATAATCAAATAAATAAATAAATAAGTAATAAATTAATAATAAAAAAATCATAACAATTAACAAATAACTTTTGCCGATTGGTCGCACAACTCGGCTTCACCGAGCCTTGTTCTCCACTGCTGAGCTGCAAACTGGCTGCACCACCTTGCGCCAGTCCTCTTTTTCTATTCTTTCCAACAAGTGTCGACCATGTATCTCCCTTTTCTCGAGTCCCGAAAGTGCGCGTTACTTCAGCGACGGAGAAGAAACCTAAATGACGTTCATTCCCAGCGCACAGTTCCTCGCAAGATGCAGGACGGGCAGCGCTAAAGCAAGGCATCTCGCACGCCAACCTTGATACGACAGTAAATAACTGGCGTGTGCGTAACGCGCGCGAGTCCGAGCTCCACGCGTGCGCTCCTTGAAATCAGAGTCCTGGGTGCCGTGGCGCGGCGATTCGCGCGAGAGCACGCAGGCATTCGCGTGGGCGATTAGATCCGCGACACGCTTTACCGGCAAAGAAAAATCGGCACAATAGCCCTTTGTGTGTCTGTCCGTTCTGCGGCGGAGAGAGACGGTTCGGCGATGGCGAGAGATGCCGATGACGACGGGTGTCCCGTCGCGTCGCGTCGCGTCGCGTCGCGTCGCGTTGCGTCGCGTCGCGTCACGTTGTGTCGGCACCACGTCGTTGTGAAACGAATTCCAGGACAGGCGTTTTCCGGATCTGCGCAATGCAGCGCGATCGGATTGCATAAGCGGCTCTCGGCCGCTGCACCTCGGCGAAATGACCCGCTTTTTCGCGGTGACTCCTCGCCGCGGCGCCCTTCGGTAAAAGCGAAGACGAGATGCGTAAGCGTGACCGATGTACCGTAATGCACGCGCGCGCGCGCGCGCGCGGTTGGATCTGTCCGTTCGATGGAAATCATCGTCGCCCGCAACGCCGGTCGTCGTATTCGCATTCGTTAGCGGGAAAACGCGGCTCGCGCTGCGGTTTCGCAACGCCCTGTGGCACTTGCAATGCTTTCCTGAGAAAGATGATGATGATGATGATGATGATGATTTCGTTACGCCGCGTCGCTACACATACACGCGGCGCGCTTACGCTTAATTACGTGTCATTATCGTTTTCGCGCTTTCTGCCGGGATTATTCTATTCTTGTGTACAAACTGCAGAAATGAAACCTCTCTTTGACAGCGACTGGTGAAAAATTTATGTCTGATAAAGAGATAATAACAGAGAGAGGAGACAGAAGGATCAAAAGAATTAATTAAAATTAATTAAAGATCAGAAGAGCTTGAGTCTAATAGGAAGATGTATGCAACATATTCAATCAGAATCTCCACGTCAATATTTTCACGTCAATATTTCACTTGCCTTAATTAATTATAAAATGCCCTGTAAGATGGTTTTTTAAACATATAATGTGTGTATCACCAAAGATGCATGCGTGTTACTCGATTGCGATTGTAAAGTCGTCTTTAATGATTACAGTTCTCAGAGTTGACTATTGAAGGAGAAACGAGCGGACTGTCACGTTAAATCACACAACAGAGATTCGCTATCGAATTTTCACGCGGTGATACCTATGAAATAATTACCGTCGCAGCTTCGCAGAAATCACACAGCCCGTCCCTCCGGCCCGCCTATCCTTCTCCTTCCTGTTCCAGTCTGCGAGGATTGCATCACGATCTCTCAGAATTCCCCTTATGCAATCGATTGCGGTCGCCAAAGGGAACAAGCGAAATTATTTTCGCGCATCCATTCTGAGAGAGAAATCCCGTTTCGCTCGCTTCGTGAAAAATTCGCACTCGGTAAGCTCGGTATTTTCGTGCGCGCATACATAGGCGAGGCGAGGCGTTTAGAAATCTTTCCACTCTTTCTTTTTTTCCTTTTCTTTTTTTATCTCAAACGGCCCGATTACGCGATCGGTATTG